ACCACTTTTATTCAATATAGTATTGAAAGTTCTAGCCACAGTGGTCAGACAAAGAAAAGAAATAAAAGACATCCAAATTGGAAAGAAAGAAATAAAACTGTCATTATTTGCAGAAGACATGATAGTGTACCTAGAAAACATTATAGATTCCACCAGAAAACTACTTGACCTAATAAGTGAATTTGACAAAATAGTGGGATACGGAGGCAATATTACAAAATTAAATGCATTTTTGTACACCAACAATGAAATATCAGAAACTAGGGGAAATAATCCCATTTACTATAACGACAAGAAAAATCAAATACATAGGAATAAACTTAAACAGGGAGGTAAAAAACCTGTACTTGGAAATCTATTGAACACTGAAGAAAGAAATTAAGGAAGATACAAACAAATAGAAGCATATACCATGTTCATAGATTGAAAGAGTTAACATTGTTAAAATGTCCACACTACCCAAAGCAATCTATAGATTCAACATAATCCCAATTAAAATACCAATTACATATTTCACAGATTTAGAACAAATATTTCAAAAATTTAGGTGGAACCAAAAATGACCCTGAATAGCCTCAACAATTTTGAGAAGTAAGAACATAGTAGGAGGGATCACAGTACCTTATATCAAACTATACTACAGGCCATTATAATCAAAACAGTCTGGTACTGGCATAAGAACAGACACATAGATCAGTGGAACAAAACAGAGAGCCCAGAAGTAAATCCATGTCTCTATGGTCTATTAATATTTGGCAAAGGGAGCAGGAACATAAAATAGAGTAAAAGTAGCCTCGTCAACAAATGGTATTGGGAGAGCTGAAATGGACATGCAAAAAAAATGAAACTAGACCACTTTCTTACACCATACACTAGGATAAACTCAAAATGGCTAAAAGACTTACATATAAGCTATGAAATCATAAAATTCCTAGAGGAGAACAAAGGCAGGAAAATTTCAGCTATCCCACGCAGCTGTATTTTTGCTGATATATCCTCTAGGGCAAGGGAAATAAAGGAAAGAATAAACAAATGGGACTACATCAAATTAAAAAGCATCTGCATGGCTAAGGAAAACTTCAGCAATGTGAAAAGGGAACGAACCATGTGGGAAAACATATTTGCCAACAATAACTCAGACAAGGTTTTGATCTCTAGAATGCATAAAGAACTTACACGACTCAACACCAGGAAGACAAACAAACCAATTAAAAAATGGGCAAAGGACCTGAACAGACACTTCTCCAAGGAGGACATACATAAGGCCCAGAGACATATGATAGGATGTTCGACATCACTTGCCATCAGGGAGACGCAAATTAAAACCACAATGAGATATCACCTCACACCAGTCAGAATGACCATCATTAACAGAACAAAATAAACTCAAGATGGATAAAAGATTTAAATATAAGATGTGACACCATAAAAGTCCTAGAGGAACACATAGGCAGGAAAATTTCAGATATCCCACACAGCAGTATTTTCACTGTACGTCCCCAAGAGCAAAGGGCATAAAGGAAAGAATAAACAAATGGGAATACATGAAACTAAAAAACTTTTGCACGGCTAAAGAAAACATCATCAAAGTGAAAAGGGAACCAATTGTATGTGAAAATATATTTGCCAATGATACCTCGGACAAGGATTTGATCTCCAAAATATATAGAGAACTCACATGACTCCACACCAGAAAGACAAACAATCCAATTAAAAAATGGACAAAGGACCTGAACTGACACTTCTACAAGGAGGACATACAGTTGGCCCATAGACATATGAAAGGATGCTCAACACCACTAGCTATCAGAGAGATGCAAATTAAAACCACAATGTGATGCCACCTTACAGTGGTCAGAATGGCCATCATTAACAAATCAACAAACTACAAGCGCTGGAGAGGTTGTGGAGAGGAGGGAACACTAGTGCATTGGTGAGAAAGCAGACTGGTGCAGCCACTGTAGAGAACAGTGTGGAATATCCTCAAGAAAACTAAAAATGGAACTGTATTTTGATCAAGCGATTCCACTGCTGGGATTATACCCTAAGAATCTTGAATCACCTGTTCAAAAGAACTTATGCACCCCAATAGTCATAGCAGCAATATTTATAACAGCCAAGTGCTGGAAACAACCTAAGCACCCATTAGTAAATGTGTGGATCAAAAAACTGTGTTACATTTATACAGTGGAATACTAAGCAGCAACTTTTACCCTTCAAGACACCATGGATGGAATTGGAGAACATTATACTAAGTGAAATAGGCCAATTGGTGAAAGACAAATACCATATGATCTCACCTATAATGGGAACCTAATGAGCAAAATAAAACCAGAGGCATGGAAACAAGGAACAAACTGTCAGAGACTAAAGTAGAGGGGGAAGGTGATAAGTGAGGGAAAAAGAGAAAGGGACAAGTTAAAGAACATGTGTAAATGACCCGTGGACACAGCACAGTAGGGATTGACTGTGGGAGTGGAGGATGGGCAGGGGAGGGCAATTGTGGGAAATTGGGACAACTGTAATAGAACAATAATTAAAAATAAAAGTGTAAAATGGTTAAAAAAAAAAAAGCATCCTCTTCCAGAGGATGTTGTTTCAACTGATGAACCTGCAGTGACCTATTATTATCAGTGTCCATAGTTTACATTAGGGTTCACTCTTGGTGTTTTACACTCTATGAGTTTGAGTAAATTTATTATTACATGTATCCCCCATTATTCATCATACAGAGTAGTTTTATTGCCCTAAAAATCCTCTGTGCTCAGCTTATTCATCCTTCCTTCTCCCCTAATCCCTTGAAACTTCTAATCTTTTTCACTGTCCATACTTTTGCCTCTCCCAGAATTTCATGCAGTTAGAATGGTAGAGTATGTAGCATTTTCATATTGGTTTGTTTTACTTTTTAATATGCATTTAAGTTTCCTCCATGTATTTTTTAAAAAATTTAGTACATTGTATTTTTTTTCCATTACCATTTAGTCCCTTTATACCTTGTCCCGCCTCCTCTGCAATCACCACCCTGTTGTCCATGTTCATGAGTCCTTTTTCTTTTTTGCTCAATCCCTCCCTCCCCCTACCCCAGCTGTTGTCCTGCTCTCCGTCTAGGAGTATGTCCTCATTTTCCTTGTTAGTTTAGTTTGTTCATTAGATTCCATATGAGTGAAATCATATGGTATTTGTATTTCTCTGATTGGCTTAATTCACTTAGCATAATGTTCTCCAGGTCTATCCATATTGTTGCAAAGGGTAAAATTTTCTTCTTTTTTATGGTCAAGTAGTATTCCATTATATAATATCCCATAGTTGTTTCACCCACTCATCTACTGATGGACACTTGGGCTGCTTCTGAATCTTAGTGATTGTAAATAACACTGCAATGAACGTAGAGGTACTTATGTTCTTCCAAATTAGTGTTTTGTGTTTCTTCAGGAAAATTCCCAGAAATGGAATAGCTGGATCGAAAGGCAGATACATTTTTATTTTTTTGAGGCATCTCCATATTGCTTTCCCCAGTATTTCCTTTATAAATGTCCATGTGCAGATTTTTTGCATAGATTTAAGTTTTCCCCTCCTTTGGGTAAACATCAAGGATCACAATTGCTGGGTCATATGGAAAGAGTATATTTAGTTTTGTAAATATAACCACTAAACTATCCTCCAATGTGGCTATACCATTTTGCATTCTCACCAGCAGTGAATAACAGTGCATAGTTGTGCACTGGCTGGTGTGGTTCAGTTGGTTGGAGCATTGTCCTGTAAGTAAAAGGTTGTGGGTTTGATTCCCAGTCAGGGCACATACCCAGGTTGCAGGTTTGATCTCCTGTCCTGGTTCAGGTGCATGCCACCCTTGGCCTGGACACATACTATCCCTGGTGTTGGTGCCAACCCCAGTCCGGGAATATATGGGAGGAAGCCTATCGATGCTTCTCTCTCGCACCAATGTTTCTCTCTCTTCCTTCCTCTCTCTCTAGAAGCAATGAATAAATTGTCCTCAGATGAGGATAACAAAATTAAAATAAAAAGAGTTCCTAGTTGTCTGCATCCTTGGCAGCATTTGATATCTTCAGTGTTCTGGATTTTGAGCAGTTTTAATAGGTGTGTAATGAAAACTCAATGTTATTTTAATTTGCATTTCTTTGATGACATATAATGTGAAGCATCTTTTTTTTTTAAAAAAATCTTTGGCCCCTTGTTTAAATATTTTTTTGTTTTCCTGTCGTTGAATTTTAGGAGATATTTATGTCCCTTGTATAAGAGTTCTTTATCAGTGTGTCTTTTGCAAATAAGTCTGTGGCTTGTCTTTTCATTCTTGTGATAATGTCTTTGGTAAAGTAGAAATTTTTTATATTAAAGAAGCCTGGCTTATTTTTTTTCTCATGGACTGTGATTTTGGTGTTGTATTTAAAAAGTCATTGTGACACCCAGGGTATTCTAGGTTTTCTCCTATGTTATCTCCTAGGAGTTTTTGCAGTTTTGTGTTTTCCATGCAGGTCTGTGAGCCATTTTGAGTTAAATGCTGTGAAGGGTATAATGTCTGTATCTAGACACAATATTTTGCATGTAGCTTCCCAGTGTTCTAGCATAATCGTTGAAAAGACTGTCTTTGCTCCATTGCATTGTTTTTGCCAAAGATCAGCTGGCAAAAACAGTATGTAAAAATTATCAGTATGTAAAATAAGAGGTTAACTTATATTTCTTCAAGTTTCCAGATTAAGACTTCAATAGACTATTTCATATTTCTCTAACTCAGTATCAGATGACATAGTAAACCTGTTTGTATACCAGACTATTCTGTGATAATTTAATAATTACCTGCAAGCACTTGCAAAATGTGTTGCTTATCATACAAACTTGAACTTTAATAAAATGTATTCATAATATTAGTACTCTCTTCTCTAATAAAATTTCAGAATTTCTTTTCCAATTTAGTTACAACACAATTACGTACCTCTGAATCAGACATTGGGAACATTATTGCATAATTATTTTCGTTTCAGGCTGGGCAACAGCGTTGGTGGGAACAGGAGATAAAAATAAATGGAAATATTCAAAAAGGAGAATTAATTACATATAATTTGACTGAGCTAATTAAACCAGAGGCTTATGAAGTCCGACTAACACCTCTCACCAAATTTGGTGAAGGAGACTCAACAATTCGTGTCATTAAATATAGTGGTAAGTAGCCTTTTATGTAAAAGTATCTATTTGCATATTAAATTTAGCATATTGGTACACTGGGTCATAAGCCAAGTAACAAAACACCCTCACAAAACTTAATCATCATAGGGATTAATATTAGATTATAAATGTAGAAATATAGAATGTTTTAATTAAACCTATATGATAATGTCAGCAATGTCCCTTTATTTTCTATATTATAAGTTGTTATGTAATATTTCTGCATTTTAGTTTTTTCAGGTTCTTAATGGCTTTAAATTTATATCATTAAGAAGTTAACAAATGTTATAAAAATGTTTAAAAAATTTTAAACAATGGACTTTTTTAGAATATTCTTAGGTTTATATAAAACTGAGAAGAAAATAGAACTGTTATAGATGCCCTCTCCCCCAACACAATTTTTCCCATTATGAAGATGTAACATTAGTGTGGACAATTGTTACAACTGGTTAACACACATCGATATATTATTATTACAGTAAATAGTTACATTAGGGTGTATTATTTATGTTTATAGTTATAGGGATTTTGAGAAGTGTGTAATGTTGTTTAATGGCCATTATAGAAACAAAGAGTACTTTCACAGGCCTAAAAATTCACCCTGTTCTTCCTATTTTTCTGCCCTCCTTCCTCCAACCCTCATAACCACTGATTTCTTTTTTAATTGTCTGCAGTTTTGCCTTTTCCAAAATGTTGGAATCATACAGCATGTAGCCTTTTCAAACTGGCTTATTTCACTGAGTAATGCACTTATAAATTCTTCCACATCATTTTGCTAACTATATCACTTTCTTGTAGAATAACATGCCACTGTATGGAGGTACTAATTTCTTTATCATTCACCGATTGCTGAAGAACATCTTAGTTGACTATTCTGGTCCATTTTTTATGTGGTTATCTGTATTTGATAGTTTGTCTTCGTAAACTATACACATTTGATATTTCTTCATACATGTGCTACTTGAGCAAAAATTAAAACGAGCATAAAGCCTTAAAAAATAAAAGTTGATTAAAAACTTTTAAAAAGTAGAAACAATTGCAATGACTAGCTCTAGAATTGTAAAAATATTTTTCAGGTTTGAGTGAATCAGCAGCAATATATATCATATTTGTTCCATTAATTCAATTAAATATAACTCTTTTTTGTCATTGATTTTCAGAGTTTTACTTAAAAATCAAAATTATTTATAATAAAAATGTATTTTTTTGCAGTTGAAGATCTTTATTCTGTTTAGCATTAAGTATATTTTCCCAGTTAAGAGAGATTAATACTGTCAAAATTAAAAAATAAAGTGGAATTATTAAAAACTCATTAGAGCTTCTTTTTCATATTAAACTTCTTTTTTCTTCACTCTTCTCTCATTAGTCAGAGTATATTGGGCATGACATGCAATTTTCATTAAAAGATTAAGAAATACGGGTGGGGCAAAAGTAGGTTTACAATCGTTTGTATAGAAAATAATATGATAATAAGTGATAACATAAGAATAAACTGTGTTTTCATACTCATAACTGTAAACCTAGTTTTGTCACATCCTGTATGATATAGAGTGGAATATTCATAGAAGAACAATGGATGTAAAAGCATTAGAATCATTGCATATTTTTTCTTGAATGTGGCCCTTTAAAAATATGCCTTTTATGTTAGTGACATAAATATTATGCACAATAACAATCAATTGTTATTGTTTAATCACCTCCATGATTGCTTGGATGGGTCACTAGATAGCATCCCCATATATTTTTCTAAAGTTTTAGTTTTATGTTTTCTAAAATATGAATTACTATCTCCTCTTATCTAATGTTTACTTTCCTTGTCCCAATGTTACAAAACTCTGGACTGTTTAATATGGAGAGGTATTAAAACAGTGCATTTAATACTTATTCCATTAAAACATGAAGAAATTAGGACCCTAGGAAGTTCCAGTGTCCTTTAGAATTAAAAAACCACAAAATTATAAACTCTGAGTAGAACTAGGGTTTATCCCTCATTAATGACAGAATATCTGTTTCTTTATTTAATTCAGAAATTATTGTGATTTTTAAAAAGAGATATAGAAAATATCTTTTTGAACTCAGTAGTTCTTATTGGAAAAAATGAGACAACAAACTAAAATGGAAAATAAATCTGGAAAATACATATTATGTTTAGTTTCAATTTTTAAAATTATCTACATTCTTAAGCATATTTATTAAAATTGTAAACATTTTCTTTAAAAATTACTAATTTTATGTAATATACACTGGGGTAAAGTATACTGTCATGGTAAACAGACATTTATATGAAATTAGACATGTCTATTCCATTGGAAAAAAGAACTCATTGCAATATTCAGAATTTAGAATGGCAAATTTTCACAAGGGTAATTGTGTTACTTATAGTGAATTTGGTGACTAAAACTATCATAGAAGAAGACTCAATTAAAATTCTATCTGGCCGCTCACAGACAGAGTGGTAGTTGCCAGAGGGGAGGGAGGTTGCGGGGCTGGGTGAACACAAGAAAGGATTAAGAAGTACAAATTGGTAGTTACAAAATAGTCACAGGGATGTACAACATAGGGAATACAGTCAATAATATTGCAGTAACTCTATATGGTGCCAGATAGATACTGGAAATATTGGGAGAAATACTTTGTAAACACTATGTTGTATACCTTAAAACAATACAAAATATTGAAAGTAAACTAGAAGCAAAAGATTTTTATAATAAAAATAAAAAATATAGTCTGGTCAGAGGTTACCTGTAGATTTCACATATTTTTTAGATTTATATTATAATTCCAAAATGCTTACCTCTTTGAAAGGTAATAGAACAATTTATATTATTTTAATTATGAAATAATTTTAATTTTTATTAAGGAATTTTCAAATTAAAATATATTGATATTGGGCAAAAAATTATTTTTTTCTCCACTTCAATGGAATTACTAAATGTATAGTACCTTCTCTAGTCCCTTCTCTATGTCATTCATTTTATGTTTAACAGGGAATGCAGAGTCATAAAAACAACTGAAAATGGGAATCGTCTGTCTTCCTTATGTGGAAAAAGTAATTGATTGAGAAGCTAACCCACTTTGTTAAAATTAATATCAATATCCTAATGTAACAATTATATATGAACATGTTTTGTGCATGTGTATACATTATTGACTTTCTTTCATACTTAACTAGTAATATCGAAGTTTAACATAAGTGGTTAATAATGAAAACTAGAAATTAAAAGCAGAGTTGATAAACTTCTGCAGGTTAGAATAACAGCCCATTGCAATCTTGGGAGATTATGATAATTCTTTTCTTCATCCAGAATGAAATTTCCTCTTAGAATGATAAATGATTAATTGATATATACAGATACCATTTTTGTCTCCTAGGTTAGATATATCTTTGTTGCGGTTTCAGTAAAATATAAAATTTACTCCTCTTCAAGTATAAATTAATTGATATGACAGTTACAAATAAACTGTAACATTATAAACAATAATAAAAAAATAAAAAGCAGGCTTACAAGCATTAAAAAAGAGTAGGAATCAATTGGTACTTGTATTGCAAACACAATTAGTTTTTTAAGATAAATATTTCGTGTGTACAAAAATGCAAATGTGCTGTTTATCACTGAAAATCCTTTGCGTGTATGTATATATGTCAATGGCTCTTTGTTTTAGGACACATATATGATGTGATAGGAAGATTGCTTTATTTATTTGCATACATACCATATTATTTTTACCAGAAGTAGATAACAATAAAAAAACTAAGGTGTACTCTCTGTCAGATAATTGCTTTCATTTTTAAAACATCTAGATTATATGTTGGCCTAATGTCAGCCTCAGTTTTGATTTCTGGGTTTTGTTTAGTTCTGGTTAAGATATAAAAGGACAGTGACTCCATTTTTTGGAAAATGACAAATTCCATGTGCTATTAAGCATTGATCTTTTGGGTACTTTCAGCCTGTTATTGCAGAGCTCCAAAGTAGATTCTATTCAATCTCCTAGAACAAAATGGATTGCAGATATAATTCTCCATGGTCACAGTGAGCAAGATCGTTAAGTTTTGATAAAGAACTATGAGACACTGATTAGACACTTATTAATAAGACATTCAAGCCATGCTAACATTATGCTTTTCTTTTCTTTTAGCTCCTGTTAATCCTCATTTGAGTAAGTATATTTTTACTTTAAAAATGGCATTATATTTCACAATTAAGAAAAACAGAAAATTTATAAATATACAAACATTATTGAGCAACTTTTCTTATTTGGTTTAAAATAGACTAGCTTTTTTCCCTTTTTTATTGAATTTATTGGAGTGATACTGTTTAACAAAATTATACAGGTTTCAGGTGCACTGGCTTCAGTGAAACTGGCATTAAATATGAATTTTAAATTTCAAAGAGTATAGTTATAAAGTCATTTAATATTGATAACTGGTATTTATAATTTTTTCTAAATATTGAGCCATTTACAACAACCTGTATAACATTTGTTATTTGTATAACTGTAGAAATTTTTTCTTGTGCATTACATATTACTTTTATTGCTTTTATTTTTAATTTTTATTTTTGTTTCTACATCCCACTCATAAAAGACTATTGTTACTTAGAAAATTGATATCTGAATGGTTTAATCCAGATTTTTCATGGATCACTATTCTATATCCCAATCTTATGGGGGAAAAAAAGATAATCTGGTCATCATCCTCTTGATAATATATCACATTAAACCTAAGAATTGATTTTTGTCTCCTATTTTGTGCCTGAGAATATATTGTTCTTGAATAATAAATAAATGAAGAGCCCCTTTGCACTCTTATTCCCATCCATCCAACATTCTCCATTACCTATACTTAGGGAAGAAAATATCAAAGTCTTTTTTCTCTATTTCCTTTTCTGCAATCATCTCTCACTTACTCTATAACAAGGCAAAACTACAGAATCTCTGTTCTTGCTGTTCTTTCTACCAAAGATCCTCTTTAACTCCATTTCTCCACATTCAAATTATGATACTGAAGAATTTTATAGATTTCTATTTACATATTGCTTTCATGTGTAAAAGTGTAGTCAGTCATCACAAATGACACTTTAATGTGGATATTATCATCAGAACTTTGAGTTTCACTTTTCTTACAAGGCTTAGCACAAATAGTCTTCCTCCACTAAATATTTCCTCTTTTTGATTTCCCATAACCATTTATTTTCATCTATGTGGTAAGCTGTTATTGATTTTCTTATATCCTCCAGTAGATTACAAAATACTTGAAAACTAAATCTGTTTCTAATTTCTCCCTGTATGTTAATATCCTTGTGATTATCATAGCATCTCATTTATAACAGGTGTTCAAATGATTATTTGTTAAGAGAACAAACAAATGACAGTTTCAGGATGAATTAATTGCATAAATAAGATTCTCCCTGACTTCTCCCCATGGTGCTATTGCTAGTTAATTACTATATTTATTATAATTCCTTTCAAGGTAGGTTCTTTGACTGCACACTTGCAGTAGAAATGTTTCAAAAGAGTTGTCATGGGAAGATTAAAACTAGATACAGGAAAAAGTTTACAACTATTTCAATTCAAGAAAACAATTTGAACAGCTTTTACCTACTGAATAAAAAGCACATGTAAATGTCTAGTAGAGGGAGTGTTTGCAAACAGATTACTTCAATACAAGATAATAAGCAGCATTAATTTTATGGCAAATGAGAAAGTTTTACAGAAGAGGTATTTGAGCTAGGGCCTGAAACTTGAATAGAGGTCCCCTTAGGTGAAATGAAGGTCTTGGTCAGAAAATGATTGAGCAAAGTTTAGCGTGACTGCAGTATGATGTTGAAGAGTTACAGAAGCCAAAAATGTGTACTAAAGATAGACAATTTATAATTTGAAAGCTTTAAAAAGCTTGGATCAGGAAGGTCCTAGTTACTGACATCTCTTCCTCAACAAGCATTTTACATGTAGTCAAAAGATGGATTGGATTTTTTTATTTTTAAAATAATTTCTAGCATCACTTTCTAATTCAAAAATTTCCATTACCTGTGTACTTTTTGATTTTAATGAATATTCAGTATTATAGAAGCTGAGAGTTGTTTAGAATAAAAACTTTTTAGTAAACATTACACAGTGACTCCTGTAAGTTAATAAAAATACTTTTTATGTTACTGGAAGTTACATTATTCTTTTTTAAAAAATTTTTAAATAAATTTATCAGGGTGACATTTTTTCAAAAAACTACACATTTCAAGTGTGCAACTCAATAAAACATCATCTGCACACTGCATCGTGCACCTATCACATCGAGCAAAGACTCTCTCTGTCTCCATTTTTCCACACTTTTCCTACCCCAACCTGGTCCTGACCCCACTTACCCCCATCACCACATTGTTGTGTGTGTCTATGTGTAGTGTATATATGTTTTTTGGCTAATCTCTTCACCTTCTTTCATTCAGTTTCCCAACCCTTCTCCTTTCTGACAGCTGTTAGTCTGTTCCATTATCCCATGTCTCTATTTCTATTTTGTTCATCAGTTTATTTTTTTCTTTAGAGTCCACATATAAGATAGATCTCATTGCATTTGTCTTTCTCTGACTGGTTTATTTCACTTAGCAAAATAATTTCCAGGTTCATCCATGCTGTCACAAAGGATAAGAGTTCCTTCTTTTTCACAGCCACGTGATACTCCATTGTGTAAATATACCACAGCTTTTTTATTCACTCAACTACTGATAGACATTTGGGCTGTTTCCAGATCTTAGCTATTGTAAATAATGCTGCAATGAACATAGTGATGCATATATTTTATTCAAATTAATGTTTTGAGTTTTTCCAGATATATTCTCAAACTTGGATTTGCTAATACAAAAGGAAATTCAATTTTTAATTTTTTGAGGTAACTTCATATTGCTTTTCATAGTGGATGCAACAATCTGCATTCCCACCAACTGTGCACAAGGTTTCCTTATTCTCCACATCCTTGTCAACACTCATTGTTTTTGGATTTATTGATGACAGGCATTATCACAGGTACAAGGTGATATCTCATTATGGTTTTAATTTGCATCTCTCTCTAATGTTTAGTGATGAACATTTTTTCATATGTCTGTTGGCCATCTGTTATGTCTTCCTTGGAGAAGTGTCTATTCAGGTCTTTTGCCCATTTTTTAATTGGATTGTTTTTCTTTTGGTTTTGATTTGTATAAGTCCTTTATATATTTTGGAAATTAACACCTTGTCAGGTGTATCATTGGCATATATGTTCTCCCATTCAGTGGGATCGCTTTTCACTTTATTGATGGTTTCTTTCGTTGTGCCAAAGCTTTTTAGCTTGAACTAGTCCCATTTGTTTATTTATTCCTTTGTTTCCCTTGCCCTAGGAGATATATCAGAAAAGAATATTTATATGAGAGATGCTTGAGATTTTTACTACCTATGTTTTTTTCTATGATTTTTATCATTTCACAACTCATATCTAAGTATTTTATCCATTTTGAGTTTATTCTAATGTATGGCTTAAGTTGGTGGTCTAGTTTTATTTTTTTTACAACTACTACTCCAGTTCTCCCAACACCATTTATTGAAGAGACGGTCTTTACTCCATTGTATGCTCTTACCACCTCAATGAAATATTAATTGGTCGTGAAGATGTGGGTTTATTTCTGGACTCCTGTTCTGTTTCTTTGATTTATTTACGTGTTCTTATGTCAGTACCAGGCTGTTTCAAATACTATGGTGTCATATATTTTGATACCAGGTGTTGTAATCCCTCCAACTTTTCTCTTCTTTCTCAAGATTGCTGAGGCTATTCAGGGATATTTTCAATTTTATATAAATTTTCAGAATATTTGTCCCAGATATGTGAAATATGTCATTAGTACTTTAATAGGAATTGTGTTGAATCTATAGATTGCTTTGTGTACTATGGATATTTTAATGATGTTAATTCCCCCAATCCATGAACATGATATGTGCTTCCACTTATTTGTATTTTCCTCATTTTCTTTTTTCAATGTCATACAGTTTTCCATGTATAGGTTGTTGTCTCCGTAGTTAAATTATTACTAAGTACCTTGTGTTTCTTTTTGTTGTTGTTGCAATAGTAAACGGGATTGTTCTCATAATTTTTCTTTCTGATAGTTCATTATTGGTGTATAAGAATGCAACTGATTTCTGATTATTAACTTGGTATCCTACTATTTTGCCAAAATCATTTATTAGACCTAATAATTTTTTGGTGGAGTCTTTAGAGTTTTCTGTGTACAATATCATGTCATCTGTGAATAATGAAAGTTTTATTTCCTTCTTTCCAATTTGAATCCCTTTCATTTCTTCTTTTTGTCTTATTGCTGTGGCTGGGACTTCTAGAACTATGTTGAATAAGAATAGTGAAAGTGGACATTCACGTCTCTTGACTGACCTTAAGGGAAATGCTTTTAATTTTACATGTTGAGCATGATGTTGGCTGTAAGTTTGTCATAATGGCCTTTATATGTTTAGATATTATAGCTTTCTTTCCCATTTTGCTGAGAGTTTCTATCATAAATGGGTCCAGTTTTTTTAATCAAATAGTTTTTTTTCTGCATCTATTATATAATCATGTGATTTTTTTTTTTACCCTTTATTTTATGTGATATATTTACTGATTTGCAAATATTGTACCTAACCTTGCATCCCCAGAATAAATCTCACTATTGATCATATATGATCTTTTTAAAATATCGCTGGGTTCAAATTTGCTATTTTTTTTTTTTTGAGGATTTTAACATCCATGTTTATCAGGGATATTGGCAGATAATTTTCTTTCTTGGTAGTGTCTTTATCTGGTTTGGAATTAGAATTATGATGGTCTTATAAAATGAGCTTGGAATGTTTCCCATCTCTTGATTTTTTAAAAAATAGTTTGAGAAGTTTAGGTGTTAGCTCTTTGAATGTTTGGTAAAATTCACCTGTGAAGCCATCTCGTCCAGGAATTCTATTTGCTGGGAGTTTTTTGATTACTGCTCCAATTTCATTAGTTGTCCATAAAGGTTTTGTGATTCTTCCTGACCCAATTTTGAAAGATTGCATATTTCTAGAAATTTTTTTCACCCACGTTCACCATAATTTCTTAAAATCTTTTGTATTTCTGTGATGTCAGTTGTCACTTCTCTTTCATTTCTGATTTTATCTAT